CTTTCTTAGTACATTTCTTTGTTTATTAATTTTTCTATAAAAAATAGATATAAGATTATGAAACATCTCAGTTGCTGGCATCTTTTATGGTAACTCGAGAGAAGACTTTACAGGTCAACACCGATAACAATAGCTAGACATTTCTAACTTTTGTGAGAATTTGTAGAATGTATCCTTTCTAGCACATGTCTTAAGCGAATCGACACAATGTATCTTGTGATAGTTGCGTGAAGGAATCTTCCTGTTAGTAACAGTAACTCTAAACTCATGACTTTTCTCTCATTTTTAGGCACGGACACAACTGGATTCAGGTTCTTTGCCGAGTGCCTGAGGCACTCGGCAAAGGCCTAATTGCACTCGGCAAAGCCTTTGCCGAGTGCGGCACTCGGCAAAGAACACACGGCAAAAAATTAATCGGCAAAGACCTCTTTGCCGAGTGTCTTTATCGGGCACTTTCGGCAAAGGCTTTGCCGAGATTCTCGTGGCTTTTCGGCAAAGAAAAGCAACCGTGACGGCGCCGAATCCGTCGACGGTGGCTTTGCCGAGTGCCAACCCCGCAGCACTCAAAGAAGATTTTTATTTTTAAAAAAAAATTCTTTGCCGAGTGCCCACCGGCGGCGCCGCAAAGTTTGATTTTTTTTAAATTCTTTGCCGAGTGCCTCTCGGCGGCACTAAGCAAAGTTTCAATTTTTTTTTTAAAAAAATTCTTTGCCGAGTGCCCTCGCTGACAAGACTAAGCAAAGTTTCAATTTTTTTAAAAAATTCTTTTGATTTTTTTTAAAAAATTCTTTGCCGAAAGTGCCTTCGCGCCGACACTCGGCAAAGTTTCAATTTTTTAAAAAAATTTCTTTGCCGAGTGCCCTCTCCGGCAACACTCGGCAAAGTTTGAATTTTTTTTTAAAAAAAAAATCTGAAGCTCCCATGTTGCTCGCTTTACTCCTTGCTTTAACCTGCAAATGAACCAAACAGCACAAAAGAAAATAAGTAGCCAATAATGAACTAAAAGAAAATAAGTACCAAGTAATGAGCTTAAATAGATCTAACAATACCTAGGCTAACAAAAGCTCTAATTAGCATTTGAAAATCCACTAAGCTCCAAAACTATAAACTGCTAGCTCTTGAAACCAAACTGCAAGTACATGCAAAGCCATTTCAACTATTTCGTTCTGCCTTCACTGAAAAGCATGTACTGAAACTGAGGTAATTTTGCAATTACAGAGACAAGCTAACTACCGACACAACCTGAGAAGTGAGAAGCACAAGAACTGATGGACCAACACAACCTGAGAAGCACAAGAACTGATGGACCAACACAACCTGAGAAGCACAAGAACTGATGGACCAACACAACCTGAGAAGCACAAGAACTTATTACGACATTGCTGTAGTGAACAGGTACAATATTTAATCCATTAGCAATCTCACCATAATAAATCTACTCTGTACATTTGCTTTCTGATAATCTGAAAGAGGCTTCTCAAACCTTATTATTATTCTCTGGATTTTAATATATGCGATGGCATCTTGATGCAGAAAAATACAAGCCATAGCTCTAGTCTTTTAAGCACAATTCTTTAAAATTATTGTGGCGGCAATAGTAGGAGAATCACCTGGATTTTAGGAGGACAAATGATTAAGGAGAATCACCTGAAACTGAAGATCCATAGAAATACAGTGCTAATTAGTTACAAACCGGTAATGGTAGCAGGGAGAGTACAGAAACACAGCAACAGTTCACTGAGATGAACATTGCAGAGCTCTTCCTTTTTTTGTAATGTTTCGGATGAAGTAAGGGGTTGCAGATACATTGTGGCTGATAGATAGAACATGAACATATATCTTGTTCAATTTGTGTAGATTGCTGAATATATATTCTAGCATGCTTATGCTCACTTAACTCTTTACCAATATGTGCTTCTAATTTGGTTCATGGTGGCACCACAATAGTAGATTAATAACAGTACATAAGAAAACAGTTCCTGAACTTTGTACTGATACGTCTTTGATATCTATAATTGGAACTGATTTGTTAATTTACCCTACAAGTGATTTGGATAGCTACATGTATTAACCAGATACTTTCTTGCCTTTTTAGATCTATATATGATGAACATCATCAAAAAACATATATCTTGGCTGATTAAGCCGGGTTAATCCCTAAATAAAATTCTAAAACATGCTTTTGGCCTGAATAATAAAAACAAATGACAGAGCTTGTATGCATCCCAACGACTTATAGTGGTTCGACATCATTAGCTGTTTGTGAATTGCGATTAGATGCGCTCGTTAGTGCATAGCAGTAGAAACAGATCAGATCAGATCGAGGCACGCAAGCAAAGATAGGCTAGTAGCATGATTAGATCGAAAAAAAAATAGAGGAGGTAATCGACATGTACGCTCGGGTTTAGGCGTCTGCGCAGAGGTCATCGTCGTTCACTCGACGAGGTCGTCGCGAGGACTCCATGGCGCGCTCGAGGTCCCGCCAGAAGCCGGCACTCCTTGCTGCTCTTGTCGGAGAGGTCGGGCGCATGCGCGCGCCACGGCCTCCTTTTCCTCGACGCCTCGACGCAGCAATGGGCGGAGGCCGCCGGCGTTCATAACGGCTTCGGCCTGGGCAAGGAGAGGAAATGAATGACGAATCAATAGCGAACGGAGGAGAGAGAGAGAGTCCTTGTGACTCGTGTACCTTGAGGAGGTCGATGTGGCGATGGGCTGCGCGGAGGTCCTCGAGCGGGCTCCGGCGAGATGCGATCCGATGGTCGGCGCGCCCGGTGGCCGGGCGGCACAAACAAGACGGGACGGGAGGGAGGCGCTGCTGCTCGGAAGGCGGGGCGGGCGGCGTGGCATGCGAGAGGAGGCGGTGGCGTGGGGGGGCGGGCGGGCGGCGTGGGTGCGGGATGGTTGGCTGTCTGCGAGGCTTGACTGCCCGGCCGGCCGAAATCGCTAAGTGCCCCACCGCGCTTTTTTTGCCGAAGGCCGGATCGAGGAGGCACTCGGCAAAGGAGGCAACTTTGCCGAGTGCTCCGATCCGACCGTCGGTAAATTTTTTTTTTAATTTTTTGCCGAAAGTGCCTCTGTGAAGGCACTCGCAAAAAAAAAATTCTATAAAAAATAAAAATCCTCTTTGCCGAAAGTGTCTTATTTTTTACACTCGGCAAGAGCCTCTTTGCCGAAAGTGCCATTTTTCGGCACTCGCAAAGTATTTTTTTTTTTTTGTTTTGGCCTCTAAGTTTTTGTGCAGCCCTTTTAAAGGACCAGAACTCCTCCTTAGAATTTGGGGACTTTTTGTGGCTTTTTGATATATTTAGTTACTTTATTTCGTTTACTTGAATTTTTTTGAAAAATATAAATTTGAACTCGCACTGTACGAATAATAGAATTTAATGATTCAAAAATGATAGTCATGTTATTCTTGAGTGTAGTGTGAGGCCGTATCTAGGATCGGATTCAAATTTCGGACATCTTGTTCATGAAATATGACCTTGAACTTGCGTATGAAGTGTTTTTAAATTCTATAAAAACAAGCGAAGTCCGAAAATCATGAAACTCGTTGAGATGTCGTGATATCGTATGGAGGCTATGATAAAAATTTCAGAAGATTTCGTGCACGTTGTCACGTACGATGCTTACAAACCAGGACATCTCCATATGTGATATCGGATCTTACATGTAGAGATGTCCGGTTTGTAAGCATCATGACGTGACAACGCATACGAAATCTTCTGAAATTTTTATCATAGCCTCCACATATGATATCACGACATCTCAACAAGTTTCATGATTTTCGGACTTCGTTTGCTTTTTATAGGATTTAAAAACACTTCACGCGCAATTTCGCGGACATGTTTCGTGAACAAGATGTCCGAAATTTCGGATCTGTTCCTGGATACGGCCTCTCACAACACTCACTAACATGACTATCAATTTTTGAATCATTAAATTCTATTATTCAGATCACGCAAGTTCAAATTTCTATTTTTTGAAAAAATTCAAGTAAACAAAATAAAGTAACTAAATATATCAAAAAACCACAAAAAATCCTCAAATTGTAACTAGGAGTTCCTGGTGCTTTAAAAGGGCTGCACAAAAAAATTGGAGGCCAAAAACAAAAAAACAAAAAAAACTTTGCCGAGTCTTCGGGCATGGGCACTTCAAGAAAGAGGGTTTTAATTTTTTAAAAAATTTCCTCTTTGCCAAGTGCATCCACAGTGCACTCGGCAAAGAAATTATAAAAAAATTAAATATTTGCCGAAAGTGTCGTGCCGGGGGCACTCGGCAAAGTATTTTTAAAAAAATTTTTTGCGAAAAGCGATGGGGCACTCGGCAAAGAATTTTTTTAAAAAATCAAATCTTTGCCGAAAGTGTCTAACGGCGGGCACTCGGCAAAGAAGGCCGTGACCGAACACCGTTTCGCGGGCAGCCTATGCCGAGTGTAGAGATTTTGCCGAGAGTCTGACACTCGGCAAAGAAGTCCTTTGCCGAGTGCCCTTCTTTGCCGAGTGCCCGGCACTCGGCAAAGAACTCTTTGCCGAGTGCAATTCTTTACCGAGTGCAGCACTCGGCAAAGAAGGTCTTTGCCGAGTGCCCGATTTTTGACACTCGGCAAAGAATTTTGCACTCGGCAAAGTCTCTGTTTCCAGTAGTGGGAGATCCGTGAACAAGGACATCATTGTTTCCATTAATACATACAAAAAAGACAGGAGGAAAAGTGGAGTACTCCGCATCTCCCTCGGCAAGTCTTCTTGGTCCAGCGACGACCGTAACATCAGATGGGACACTTGCCCTGAAATTCCAAGTCCAGGTCGTCCTTCCACTAATACCATCGCTACCAGCTGGAATGCTTGTCCAACGCAAGAGAGATTTTTATTGTTCTTTGTGGAGCTACCAGTTGTTACAGTCTCAGCATAAAACTGTGTAGATCGACACAGTACGCCACTCACCACACCATCCTCCATCTGACCATCTCCAGAAACAAGCCCTTGCAGACCTCCGATACAACGATGTGCTCCACTGGAGTCCTACTAGCTCGCGCATGTGCTGTGCTCATGTGTTTGGCCGTCGTGGCGCGAGCACCGCCGGCCAAGGTCCATGCCGCCGGGACAGGGAATGAGCACCTTGGTATCCCTACCAATGCCTCCCTGGCGCACTGTCCCTCCTACTGTGGGGATGTCGAAATCTCGTACCCCTTTGGGATAGGGCCGGGCTGCTTCCGGCAAGGCTTCGAGCTCACCTGCGACAACACAACTGGTTCCCCCAGGCTCATCTTCCAGCTGGGAAACAACTCGACTCAGGTGACTTCTATAGATGTCGGCAGCAATATGGCTTACGCTTCTGCTATTGGCTACAATATCACCATGGGCTTAGGTGTGGACACCACTCAATCCTGGGAGGCCCCTACTGGTGTTTTTATTGATTATTATAACGGTATATATGTAGTTGGATGTGGTGTCGACATCTACATGTTAGGTGTGGACTCCCTCGGCATGTCTTCTTGGTCCAGCGACGACCGTCACATCAGATGCGACACTTGCGCTGAGATTCCCAGTCCAGGTCGTCCTTCCACTAAGGGCGTGTTTAGTTACGAAATTTTTTGGCTTTTGGCTACTGTAGTATTTTCGTTTGTATTTGGCAAAAATTATCTAATTATGGACTATTTAGGCTTAAAAGATTCGTCTCATGATTTCTTAGCTAACTGTATAATTAGTTTTTTTTTCGTCTACATTTAGTACTCTATGCATGTGCCGCAAGATTCGATATGACGGTTACTGCACAAAAAATTTTGGATTCTGGGGGAAACTAAACGGGGCCTAATACTAGCTACCGCTAGCTGGATTGCTTGCCCAACGCACGCGAGATTTTTGTAAGTTTTTCTAGAGCCAGTTATTGTTAGTCTCAGAATAAAACTGTGTTGTCCTCGTAAACAAGCCTTACAGACACCTCCATCTGCTTAATTAAACAAGCCTTACAGACCTCCGATACAACCATGTGCTCCACCGAAGTGCTCCACCGAAGTTTGCTAGGGGTTACAAACGGAAACGGAAACGAAAACGGAAGGAAGAAAGATGGGAGTTTGTTGTGGGGTTACAAACGGAAGGAAGAAAGATGGGGGTACAAGAGGTCCGGTCGGACTCTGGTCTGAAGGGCCGAGAGTGATGGGAGCTCCTCTATGTGCTAAGTGTTCGAGCGTGTGCTCTATATAACTTTAGAGTATCTAAAGTTACAGAGGGTGAATCAATGTAAGTGAACTGATCGATCTATCTGTTGGGAGAAAGCGCATCCCCTTTTATAGGTGAAGGGGACGGCCTTACAAGTGAGAGAGAGAGTACGCATGCTACTAAGTCTTATTACCCACGCCGTCGGGTACAAGGTGATGGTAGGCGCCCATAACACTGTTAAATGTCAGATGCATGTGGGAGGTTTCGTTGTCTTCTTCCGATATGGCAGACGTCGGTGCCGATCATACTGTTGATGCCCAGAGGCATGCAGGGTTTTTTTACCATGTTCGCCTGGTATGGTAAATGCCAACGCCCACAACACTGTTGATGCCCATAGACATGTGGGGGGAGCCTTACCGTGTTTGTTTGGTATGGGAGTTGATGGCGCCCACAACACTGTAGGGAAAATGTCGGCGCCTATAACACTGCTTGTGTTCTGTCGTGCCAGGAAGGTCGCAGGGTACTGTCCGACAGGTGTAAAGGGTACGGTCCTTGGCATTGCGGTTGACTTGAGTGTCCTGCCTTACTTTCTCCGTCCGTTTCCTGGTCCTTACCGAGCGGGCGTCCCCGGTCGGTTGGTCCCAGTCGGCTCTGATTGCGCTAGTCGGAGAGGAGCTGTAAGCAGGGGTTCGGCGCATTCCCGGTCGGAGAAGCGAGTCGGAGTCGGAAGTGGCGTTTGGCCAGGCCTTCCGGTCGGAGAGGCGGGCTGGAGTTGGAAGCGAGCGGTGTTCCTCTTTGGCCAGGCATTCCGGTCGGAGAAGCGGGCCGGAGTCGGAAGCGAGCGCCGTTCCTCTTTTAGCGAGGCCTTCCAGTTGGAGATTGTATTGCCCTTCTGGCATTTTGATTAGGTATTTGGGCCGGCTCAGGAGTTTGCGCGTCGTTCGCAACGTCGTCTGCTGGGCCGAGCCTTTGTTGGGAAGCCAGTCCATGAGGGACCCCGGATTTATGAACCCGACACAACTCAACTCAGGTGATTTTTATAGATGTCGGCAGAAACCATGCTTATGCTTCTGCTCTTGGCTACAACATCACCATGAGCTTAGGTGCGGACACTTACATCACCAAGTCCTGGGAGGCCCCTACTGGTGTTATTATTGATCATGAAAACTACTTGTATGTTGTTGGTTGTGGTGTCGACGTGTACATGTTCGGTGATAATATGACAGATCCCATTGGTTCTTGTATGAGTATTTGCACAGATAACACAGAGATCATGGAGAGGACAAACATGGGTTATGGTGCCTGTGGAAGGTTAGGCTGCTGCCGCATCTGGTTTGCAGTAAGTGGCCGACCGGCAAGACTTTACTCTCGAACTTGGCCGCCGCAATAGTACTATTGCACAGTTAGATGAAGCGCCCTCCAGTATCAAGGTTATCTTTTCGTATACCTATGACTTCGTGATAGGAGATCTTTACGCAAGTTGGGTGAATACAAGCAATGTTTACGACATGTTACTTGACATTGCAATCACGGACCAACCAAGCTGCGCAAGTGCCCAATCCCAAGAGAATAAGGAAACATATGCATGTAGTAGTGAAAGCATCTGCAAGGATCTACCACTATCACGATGAGGGTACAATTGCTTCTGCCCTGGTCAAATGGCACTACGTCAAATATGATTTCTAGGGGCGGCTACAGTGCATTTGTAGGGGCGGTTCGGTCAGCCACCCCTACGCAAGAGTCTCTACAAATCATGCATTTGTAGGGGCGGTTCCCAGACCGCCCCTACAAATCTAGCTGGTGTTACCAGCCGCCTCTACAAATCGATTTGTAGGGGCGGTTGGTACTGTAGCCGCCCCTACAAATCGATTTATAGGGACGGTCTGGGAACACCAGCCGCCCCTACAAATCGATTTGTAGGGGCGGCTACAGTACCAACCGCCCCTACAAATCATTTTTCCGCAAAAAAAAAATAAATTTACAATTCACGTTGGGATCCACTCCACGAAGTAGGACGAGTTCTTGTTCTGCACATTCAGCATCTGCTCGTCCACCTCCTTGGTGCTCATCTTCCCACGGAACATGGCTGATGCTGTCAGGTAGCGCCCATGTCGTGGGTCAGCTGCGCACATCATGTTCTTGACATCCCACATCTGCTGGGTCAGCTCGGGGACGGTGAGGGCACGGTACTGCTAGGATCCCCTTGAAATCCTGCAGAAGAAAAGGTAAAGATTATTTCAAATAGAATTTCGGAGCAGAAGCATAAATCAAACGGACAAGCAATTTTTTACACAAAATATCCAATAACCGAGATTCTAGTTGCTTTGTAGATAATAAGATGACATGAAGATGGACAAACCTAGCAAAATGCAACACCCTAACATGAACCAGAAACAAATATCCTCTAGTAACCACTAGCCAAGATGAGTTGTAAGCTACATTACTAGCCTGATAGATGAATTTTCTCACAAGCACAGTCGCACAGCCATTTGCACCATTTTTATAAACAACAAAACGCAGATAACAGAGAAGTCCAACACAGCCAAAGTAAAACGGCTCAATAAATACTTCACAGTTACTAGTAGTACGAAAGAGCCGGATTCCTTGTTGACATCTAACTTATGAGTTCAAGCAGAACTAATTTGAAATGGTGACAGAAAACACTTATCTATACTATAGTCAGGTCAGGTTGGATTAGATCATATATTATAGCTATCTTCTTTTGAGATGCTAGATGTCAACAAGGAATAAAGAACACATATTGTAAGACAGCCATGATGGAAACGTTATTTTACCTATTCAATGAGCACGCACCACACTTGTCGCAAGTGTTTCCATGGAAGAGTGTGTAGTCTTTAAGACCATAAACTAGCTGGTCAATACTTAATGCCGTAACAGAATGATGCACATCATCAGAATCTTGTGTTAGACAGACATTTCTGGAATCAGCGTTGCCTGTTTGCTCAACAAAGAGCTCACATGCTAAATTCTAAGTACAAAATAAACAGCCAAACAGGAACTTAAGTTGTTGTCAACCTAAGAAAAAAAAGGAGGCAAAACAGAGATTATCAAGTTACATGCATCCTTGATACTCAACAAGCAAAACTGAAAATATGCCACAACCAATTCAAGTTAAATGTCATACTCACACTAAACGTAATGTGATCGACTGCTGAAAAATGATAATCACTTTTAGACCTATTTTGTTTTTTGTTTCAGTTAATCAGCTCAAGGACATATATACACCAATTAGTCTATTACTAACCTTTTTTTTCCAAGACACTTGTTACTAATATATCCATGGCCAATGAACTTCTGATCAACTATATCCAGCCATCGACAATATCAAACATATGTTGTAGTCTAAATGTATTCATGTTCTTTCATATGTAGGAGGTTTCAACTTCTAGGATCGTGTTGTTTTGCCATTGCAGCATAAACACTGACTACCAAAAAATAATAAGTAAAATCTGAGATCACATTAGAGTAGACAATGAGACATACTCGTTCAGATATACTTACTGCTGCTCTTATCACTTGTATCTGCATAGGTTAAGAAAGAAAAAAAATCAACTCAGACAATATTGGAGCCAACAACACAAAAGGGACATGCTTAACTGTGCGAAATTGACACTTAATTCTACCGTATTTGCCAATAAATGCCACAGATCTCTACCATAAGATCATTAATAGGATTCTAATACTGATGTGTTGAGACACATGTTGATATAGTTTTCATTGATTCCCCGTGTCTGGAGACAGCTGCTCATTGATTAAAGGTTAAAAACTAAATTAGTTCATATAAAGCATTGTTCCTGGGTAGATGGAATGAAGGATAAGGATATGTACGAAGAGTTATTAACTAGGATTTAACATGGGTTTAAAAAACTGTTGGATGATCTATTTGGAAGAAGGGGGATAGCACTGATGGTGTTAACAGATGATTTATTTAAAAAACTGCAGTGGAAAACTAACATCTCATAATTTGAAAACAGGCATCAAACTATTTTCCCTCTTTCAGTCAATGTTAACAGATGATTTTGTAATGAACAAATTTTACTTAGCCTCTAGACATGCACTTTCTAGTCTAAGTATTAGCACATCAAAAAGATGAAACAATGTGATACTTCCAGATGTTTGGCAAACAAATCCTGATGGAAGATGACACAAGTCGTAGAAAAGCTGGTTTCAATAGCTAACATTAGAAATTCTGACCATGCTTTTGGCCTTTTTGCTAAGGTTAAACAGGTAAATAGATATGGCAAAATGAAACCTTTCTGAAGAAGCCAACCAACCATAAAATAAGATCATCAACGTCAGCATCATTTGAGAGACATAGGCAGACTTCAGTTCCACTGTGTTGAGAAACATATCCATGATTTAATCAATCAAGGTATTCATTTGGTGAAATCAAACTAACAGACAGGTACCTGAATGGTGCATGACTTCAGTTCCACTGTCCTAGTGCAGTGCAGGACAAAGAAACGCACGGATTCTAGATCTGCAGCAGGACTGGGGATTAATGACCGCGATGGCAAAGGAGAATCCATTCAAGCACTAACGCGAAAAAAAAATGTATTAGTATCCGCAAAGGAAAGTCGGGTACCATTGAACGGACCTTAGCTTCTCGCATTGCCGGCGGAGGCGATGGCGGCGCGGCGAGGACGATGTAAGCGTAAAGACTGGGCTTTTTTCCGGAGAAAAGGGTGACTTTATTCAACGTCGCGACAAGATAATCTAGAAACCTGGTAAAGGAATCGACACCCTAGGCTTCTCCGCTTGCCGGGCGCCGTCTTTGGTCCAAGGCAGAAGAAGAAGCGCGCCGACGAAATCGACGCCGGAAGGGAGAGGGGAGCTGAGGAGACGAGATCGATCTACAGATGAACTCACCTCCTCGGCGTGTTCGTGGCACTCCACCTCCTCGAGCAGGCCACCCATGCCGGTGCGCCGCTGAGCCCGGGCCAAGGCCGGTTCCGCGCTGAAACCCTAGGTCGGCGTGGCGGCGGCGCAGGAGGCCTGCCGCCTAGGCCGAGGTGTCGCTCCATGGGGAGGAGAGGCGGAGGCGGCGCTCGGCGGTGTCGACGTCGGCGCGCGACGGAGGCGACGGCAGAGGGTGGCGCGGCGGACGCCACGGGAGAGAGCGACGCGAGGGAAAAGCCGGAGGCGGCGTCTCGGGCTGAGGTCGAGAGGACGAGGGAGATATTTTTCTGCCCAGGTATATATGCGGCGGGAATTTGTAGGGGCGGCTCAATCACCGGCCGCCCCTACAAATAGCAACTCTGGGGGCGGTTGGTGAGTGAGCCGCCCCTACAAATCAGACCTATTTGTAGGGGCGGCTCGTATCACCAGCCGCCCCTGCTGTTCTATTTGTAGGGGCGGCTGGTGTTTGAGCTCCTGAGCACGCCACTGTAGGGACGGCTCCATCACTAGCCGCCCCTACAAAAAAATCGAGTCGTTGCTAAAAATCGTTTTTTACGTAGTGTGGATGGCAACCCCTATGTTGCAGATGGCTGCATAGGTTCGTGTGCATCTCTGTTTCTTTTTCGCATGACGTAGTTTTTTTTATGTGGCGCGTAGACATTTTCTATATTTATTGTATTGTTTATCTCATATTAATTATTACCAATCTGAAAGCACCCACAAATTTTGTCACACGTGCATGTGGATTATATTGATGAGTTACTTATTCAACAAGACTAAAATAATGTGTCGATCCCTGCACTTGCAGTATTTATTAATTGCCACACATATCAAATGCCTTCGCCGCTAAACTAAATTGGCTAGTTTCTTCGTCTCAAAAGGATGCCTTACTAGTTTCCTTGGATTAATCCTAATTCCTTGCTTTGTCTACCATCAACCAGATTACAATCCAAAGGCACCCAATGAGAACTGTACGAGATTATGTGGAAACATAACCATTCCATTTCCTTTTGGGATTGAAGAAGGCTGTTTCGCAAATGATAACCTACGACTCAACTGCACAAGTAACGCAACTCTTGTTCTTTACCGAGGGTACGCGCAATATCGTGTGGCCAATTTATCACTTGATGATGGGCTTCTGACGGTTACAAACATGCTGAATGACACAAGCTCCAACAACATGAAGAGGATAGTCATATCTAACAATGATGGTCACAACTATGCATCTTCTTAGGACGTCTTGGATGATAATTTTTATTTCTCTCAGGAGGATATACCAATAAAATGGGTTGTGGCAAACTTAACTTGTCAGGAAGCTAGGCTAAATAATGCTACATATGCATGCATCAGTGACAATAGTTTCTGCATAGATGTCATGCAAGAGAAAACACGTGATGGGTACCGCTCCAAGTGGTCTGATGGCTTTCAAGGAAACCCATACCTCAAAAATAGTTGTACAGGTTATACTTCTCCTTTAAACTTGGTTTCACTAAGTTCCTTATCTTACTATTACTAATTAGAGGCCCGACGGAGGCACCACATTAATTTTCACCAGATGTGCTACTATTACTAATTAAAGGCCCTGACGGAGACACCATGTTAATTCTCACCAGATGTGCTAGAAAAAAGATAAATTCTAGAAAATCTCACAATAATCAGAAATATCTAGTCTTTAATTTGGTAGACTCTGATCATCATCACCGGTAACAACCATTAGATTTATTGTAATTTATATAAAAAAAATTTACTCACCTCTACCATTATGAAAAATACATAAAGTAAACCCCAACTTTGCATCTAAATTCCCTGATCACATCTGGCGAGTGATGGCAGAGTTGAGCATGTTCTTCCGCAAGCTATGTGCTAAGGAGATATCTCGGACCGAGATTGAAGAAATGGAAAGAATGGCCCCGGTGTTGCTCTGCAAGTTGGAGAAGATCTTTCCCCCCGGCTTCTTCAATCCGATGCAACATTTGCTCTTGCACCTACCATATGAGGCAAAAATGGGGGGCCCTGTGCATGCCCGTTGGTGCTATCCAATTGAGCGATGCCTAAAGGTTCTTAGAACAAAATGCAAAAATAAATGCAAAATTGAAGCTTCCTGTGTAGAGGCATCCATTGTGGAGGAGGTGTCATACTTCACAACAAGATACTATGCCGACAACCTTCCTAACGTGCATAATCCACCCCCTCGTTACAATGCTGCCGACAATCAGTCGACCCTCAGCCTTTTCCAAGGGCAACTCGGAAGTGCAAGTGAACCTACCTTGAAGATGTTGAGCCTAGA